TGCATGTATGTATGTATGCATGCATGTATGTATGTATGTATGTATGTATGTATGTATGTATACCTGTGCACGTATGCATGTATGCATGTATGCATGTATGCATGTATGCATGTATGCATGTATGCATGTATGCATGTATGCATGTTTGCATGTTTGCATGTATGCATGTCTGCATGTATGTATGTATGTATGCATGTATGTATGTACGTATGTGTGTGTGTGTGTATGTATGTATGTATGTATGTATGTATGTATGTATGTATGTATGTATGTATGTATGTATGTATATATATATATTTATTCATAGTTTTTTAGGGTTGGGGACGCTGGAACAAGCCCCGCCCACCCACCCCTCAACGAATCGGGCCCACCCCGGGCCTCTCGGGCGACCCTCCAGACGACCTGGGAAAAGCTTGCGACAGCCTGAAGACGGCCCCAGAGGGCTCCAGGCGTTCCGGCGCGCTCCCGAAACGACCGCAGAAAAACCCCAAGACGGTCCACAACGACCCCACAGAAGCCGTCATACCCCCAAAGATCGTTCCAAAACGTCCCAAGAGGCCTCCAAGAGCACTCCCAAGAAGGCCCCAACAGCAATTTTTTTAGATTTTCTCATGGTTTTCGGTGACTTTTGGGGTTCTCGTCTTTTCGGCTTCCCGACGCTTCAAAGCAGCGGTCTTCTGGGCGTCCGAAGCTGCCTGGGAGGCTCTACAATCGCCCCACAACCATCCGAAAGGGCTTCCAGGCAGTCCAAGAGAGCCCCAAGACGGCACAACAGGGTTCCAAGATGGCCTAAGAGAGCCCCATGACGGCCCAAGATGGCCCCAAGACGCCCTCCGAAGCAGTCCAAATAGTGTCCCGGTCGTTCAGGGAGACCGCGGTTGGAGGCAGGGTGGCCCGAGGAAGCCCCCAGAGGCCCCAGGAGACGCCCAGGAGGCCTCCAGAAGGCTTTAAGAAAGCCTGAGAAAACTTTTGTGAGGCCCCCAGAGGCTCTCCAAGGAGGAGCCTCCGCAAAAAGAGCTGAGGAGGATGGGGAGAGTACGCAGGGTATGGCGAGAATGAGGAGAAATAAGCATGGAGGAAGGATGACGAATAACATTATTATAACGGCGATACCAGAAAAGGCAACAAGAAGTTATCGCTAAATTGTCGGCTTGACCTTCCTGCCATTCCGCCTGCATACCAAACTTCAAAGACCAAGGTGCACGGCGCGAAGCGCCAATGCAGTCTGGTATATATTTATATACATATATATGTATGATTATATAGATATTCCTATCTATATGTGTTTATTGGGCCGGGGACTCTGGACATGGCCCCCCCGAGCGAATTTCGGATTCCCTGTGCTGCTCGGAAGCCCCCCGGGGTGGTCGGACGCCCTTGCAAAGGGTTCCTTCGGTTTTCCGGCTTTCTCTGAGGGCCCAAAGGGACCTCCAAGATTGCCCAAGACAGCTCATCGACAGCCCTAAAGCACACCAAGATGCCCAAGAGGCGCCTCAAACGCACCCACACACGTGCACGAGGCCTCCGCATTGAGCCCACACAGCTTACAATCGTCCACCTCCCGAAGGTTTTCGAAGGACTTCGGCGTCCTCGCCCTCTCGCGCTGCCACGCTGCAAGACGGCCCAAGAAGTGCCACAAACTGCCCCAAGAGCGGTTCAAAATGACCCTCGCGGGCTCCAAGACGGCCCATGAAGCCCCCGAAGGCTCCCAAAACGACCCAAGAGGGCCCCCAGACGGCCCAAGAGAACGCCCAAACGGCCCCCAACATGATCAAAACGGACCAAGGCAGCCCCAAGAAGGCCCCGCAAAGGCCCAGGAACGGGAACACGAACTCACATTTCGAACCTATCGCCTCAAAATCGCCCCAGGATCTTCCCAGGGGCTCCCCCTGCGCTCCTGCGACGCTCCAAGAGGCCCTGATTTTTGCCTCTTGGGCCCTCTTGGGAGTGCTCTTGGAGGCCTTTTGGGGCGTCGTGGAGGCCTTTTGGGCCGTCGTGAAGGCCATGTTGAGCGTCTTGGGGCGATCATCGGGCGTCTCGGACCCCTCTTGGACCGTATTGGGGCCCTCGTGGGGCCTTCTGAGACGATCCTGAGGGCCTTGAAGACGGGCCCCATGAGTTCCGGCATCCTGGAGCAGCAGTGCCCGGGGTCCTTTTTGGACCGGGCACAGCCAGGGGCCGCCACGCGCGCGCAAATTAGAAATTTTAGAACCTGTTACGGGAGCTCTTAGTACGCCTCTGTCCCGTTGGGCTGGCGAACTATCGTTACTCCGCGTGCGCAGGTGCGTGCACAAGTATGTGGACATGCATACATACATGCATGCGTGTACACGTATACATATACAAATAGACATGATATATATATATATATATATATATTATATATATATGTATGCATGCATGTATTTATGTATGCATGTATGTATGTATGTATGTATGTCTGTATGCATGTATGTATGTATGTATGTATGTATGTATGTATATATATACATATATACATATATATACATATATATATGCAGACGCACCCATAGATCGACGTTCTACATACAGCAACATACGCATATATACACACAGACATAACACTCTATATGTGTGTGTATGTATATGCACAGCGTGCATGCGCGTGCGCGTGTACACATGCATGCGCATGCTCATGCGCGAGTGTACACTCGCACGCACGCCGCCTGCGAGTGAAACTCAAAGGACCAAGGTGTATGGCGCTAAACGCCAATGCAGTACATTTATATAATCTTATCTATATGAATGTAGATGTTCACACATATGTATACACACATATATATATGTATATACACCTGTATTCGTACAGATACGTGTTTGCCAGCGTGGGTCCTTATCAGAGAGATGCTGCACGGTGGATGTATGAACTATGCAGTGTGATATACTAGCCGGCCGCTTTGCGGTTGATCGGGAGTTTCCGTGGGGCCGGTTTTCTGAAGATGTCCCACGCAAGGGCGCTGGTTTGAAATACGTCGCTGGATGTTTTAGATATCCTCCCGGATTTCCCGGATCTTCGGAATTTGCCGGAAACGGAACAGGGGGGCGGTTGGCGGGCCCATTCCCTCGCGCGCCCGGGGTCACGATGACGTGAGTTCTCAACACAAGCTCCCTCAAATGAGGTGTCATCTATGTGGTGTGAGCTGTGTGGTGAAGCTATGTGGCGCAACCATTGTGGTGCAATCTACGTGGTGTGAGCTATGGTGTGTAAGCTATGTGGTGCAATATATGTGGTGCTATCTATGGGGTGCAAGCTTTGTAGTGCAACCTGTGTGGTGCGATCTATGCAGTGTACGCTATGTAGTTGGATCTAAATTGCGCAATCGATGCAGTGCCACATATGTTTGGTGTGAGCCATGTGGTGCAAGCTGGGACGTTCAGCCATGCTGTCTAAGCCATGTGGTGCAATCTATGTGGTATGAGCTATGTGGTGTAAGCTATGTTGTGGAATCTGTGCGGTGAGGTGACCACGGGCAGCAACGTGGCGAAACCTCGGCGGACCGTCTCAGCGCACGAGACGCCCACGAGGCGGCCACTGGCGGCAACGTGGCGGAACCTCGCTGGACCCACCCAGCGCACGAGGCGGCGGCCACGGGCGGATATGTGGCGAAACCTCTCTGGACCCACCCAGCGCACGAGGCGGCCACGAGGCGGCCACGGGCGGCAATGTGGTGAAACCTCGCCTGCCAATCCATCGCACGAGGCTGCCACGAGGTGGCTACGGGAGGCAACGCCAAGAAACCTTATAAAGCGGCGATTGCCGCGAGGCAGGCGAGAAGAGGGAGGGGGGCGAGCGAAATTGCCGGCTGCCGCACATATCTTGGCGTTGCGGCGCTAATGCGAATCTTGCCGCTGGGGACTTCGGGGTGCCACGACATGCATAAAGGGTGTGCCGGGTTGGGGGGCGGGCACGTTGTGCGGGCCCTGCCATGCGGACCCTGGCATTTTGGCCTTAGCAGGAGCTCTCTATAGGGCCACGAGACGTGTGAGGGGTGTGCCCAAAGGAGGCAGCGACGCCATGCGGACCCTGGTGTTTGGGCCTTAGTTGAAGCTCTCTATGGGGCCGCGGAACGATGGGTGTGCCCAAATGAAGAGGCGACTCCTTCTGGACCTTTGCGTCCAGGCCCTGGCTGGAGCTCCCTATAGACCCACGAGGTGGGTTTGAGCGGTGTGCCGAAATCTGCATGCGGAGAGCAGGGGCGAGCATCACGAGGAAAGGAGGGGGGGCAGCGGGAGTGGACGCGGGGCGCCGCGGATTCAGATCGAGGATCCGGCGCCACAGGATGGCCGGGGACACAGGCGTGGGGAGCCTGCTGGTCAGCTCGAACGAGCCAGCGGCCCTGTCCACTCCCACCCTCCCTTTCATGAAGTGGAGGACCAACGATGGCTAGATTCGAGCCTGCTCACTGCAGTCTTCCCCAAACTGCAACCTCCAGTTCTGAATCTAATCTGCCACTTCTCGCAGTGTCTGGCTGTTTGCGGCAAGTTCCGCCACCGTGCCAGCTCAGTACGCTGTGAGGCGACGCTACACATCGGCACCGCCGGGAAGGCCGTAGCATGTGACACGTCCCTTGTCGTCTATATACTGTCAGGATCCCTCACGACGTCTACCTGGGCCGTCTTGGGACTCCTTGGGGCCTGCTTGGGCCGTCACGGTGCCGTCTTGGCCCTCTCTTGGCCGTCTGGGGAGTCTGTTGGGGCTCTTTGGAGTGCGGAACAGGAGTGGGGTACAGACGACGCAAGTGTTGCAGCAATGTCGTTGGCGACCTGAGGCAGCTCGCCTTGCCAAGGATAGTCTGGATTCGAGGAGGTCAGCCGCCTTCCACACAGAGCGCAAAACGTGGAGGACAAGGTGGGAGATGACTAGGAGGAAGAGGGGAGGAGGAGGAGGAGGAGGAGGAGGAGGAGGAGGAGGAGGAGGAGGAGGATGAGGAGGAGAGGGAGGAGGAGGAGGAGGAGGAGGGGGAGGAGGAGGAGGACAACGACGACGAGGATGCGCATGAGGAGTAGGATAATGTTGTTGTCGCCATTTGTTCTCAGATGTACCTGAGCATCCCGCCCCAGGGGTTCGGTTTGGTTGTCGAGCTCGCGTGGTAGCTTCCACGATGTCCTGCGCAAACGAGCCACACCTTCGAGCTTCGCGCAAAGGAGCCGAACCTCGAGCGCGGGACGGGAGCTTCCAGGGCGTTGCCGACCGCTGCTCGCCAGATCATGCGGGGGCGTCGTCGTGGACACTGCGTGTGAGGGGTACGTTCCTGGACCCCGTCGCCCCTCCCACGATGGAAAAGCGGCGCAGCTCGGACCCGGGCGTCGAAAGCGAGCGGCTCTCTTTTTTCGCCGAGGAAGAGGGATACGCGGCGAAGTTGTCGGAAAAGATGAACGGATTGGGCATGTCGTCTGCGGTGGCGGGGTTCGCGGCGGTTTTCAGCAGCACGCAGACTTCGCTGTCCACACGCTCCAGCTGTACCTCGAGCTCCTCGGGGTCACGAGCGCCAACAGGCAAGGCTTGCCCTTCGGACGCGCCCGCCCCCCACGGCTTCCCCAGCACCGCGTGCGTTCGGCATCCAGCGCTGTGCCGACTGCCGTGCCAGGATTTGGCGTCGTGCCTTGCCAGCTGCCGCCGCAAAAAGATGCAGCACATGGACATCGGCGTCACCCCAACATACTAATACTGTATGTGCGCGTCGCCCCCCCCCCCCCCCCCCCCCCAGGGGCGACGCGCGCACCGAGAAATCTTACAGTATATGCGTCGTTGCGGGGGCGCGTTCCTGCCACACCGCTCGGGAAACGATGCACTACAAGATGGGTATACTATGTGTTCGGGCCGGACTTGGGCCTCTAAGGAGGGCGTACAGCATTGGTATGTCTCTGTGCGTCCCAGGACAGGAAGTCTCGCCAGATCTTCGGCGCCATGGGCCGCCAGGCTCAGGTCGAGGTGCTGCGGCGCACCCTCGCCGCCAAGGTCGCGGAGCTGGGCCTCGGCGCGGAGGCGGCGCGGGCCGTGGAGGCGTGGCACGCCGAGGTCGCGGTGGCGCCGCCCGTGCAGGCACCCGGGGAGCAGCAGGGCGGCACCGACCCCCTCCAGGGGGCCGCCACGCGACATAAACATGAAGACTCGGAGGTCCGCGCGGGTTTCTCGCATCGGCGCTGGGACCCCCTCGCCGCCCCTGGCGCGCTCCGCGCGCCAGGGAAGGGGGCCCGGCGCGGATCCGAGAGTTCCGCGCGGAGCGCCAGAAGTATTTAGCCTTCTGGCGAGTCGTTTCTTCTTCTGCGACTCCTGGCGGGGCAGGAGTGACGGTGGATGTGGTACGGGGGTGTTTATGCTTGTGCTCATGTTTGTGGCGCTTTCTCCTCCTTCTGAGTTTATGTTTATGTGTATGCCCATGTTTATGTTTATGTTCATGCTTATGCTTATGATTATGCTTTTGCTCATCGCGTTTTTTCTTCCTCTCGGCGGGCCTCCGGCCCGCACCCAAAGGAGAGCTCCGCGCTGACGCCGGCGGAGGCCCAGCGCCTCCGGCAGTGCCTGGAGGGCCTGCACCTCAACGACCTGTGCGGCGTGCCGGCGCCCTGCGACGTGAGGCGCGGCCTCTCTGGGCGGTTCGGGCGGAGGAGGAGGAGGAGGAGGAGGGGGAGGAGGAGGAGAAGGGGGAGGAGGAGGAGGAGGAGGAGGAAGGAGAGGAGGGGAGGAGGAGGAGGAGGAGGAGGAGGAAGAGGAGGAGGAGGAGGAGGGAGGAGAGGGGGGGAGGAGAGGGAGGGGGAGGAAGGAGGGGAGGAGGGAGGAAGGAGGAGGAGGAGGAGGAGGAGGAGGGAGGAGGAGAGGAGGGGGAGGAGGAGGGGGAGGAGGAGGAGGAGCGAGGAGGAGGAGGAGGAGGAGGAGGAGGAGGAGGGGTGCCAGCTGCAGCTTTACGTCGGGCCTGTGGCTCTGCAGGAGGCATGTTCAAGGGGAGTCACAAATAATAGTCGGGGGAAGATTTTTTTCGACTCTGTCTGGCGAGCTCTCAGATGTTTTTTGACTATCTTGTGTGTTTCGTCCAAAACCCGCCTGTATGTAGGAGGACACGCCCGACTTAATGCCAGCAGCAGTTGGGAGAGGGGGGGGAAGAGGGGAGAAGCAGAAGAACGAGAGAGTGTTACGGGGCGTACCGACTCGTGAGTTACAACGGAGCGTGCGATGATAGGAAGCCTTTTTTTCGGTGCGGTGATGCGGGCGCCTCGGCGAGTCTCGCAGACTCGCGACCCCAAGCCTCCAGTAGTGGACACCAGCAGAACACATGGGGAATACGGAAAGGGGAGCAGGGGAACCCGGACATATCTGAGCCCGGTGACGGCAACAGCTGCCCTATCTTTAGCGGGTTCTGCACGGTGAGGGTGGCGGGCCCGGCCTCGAACGTCAAGAAGATGGGCGAATCCGGCGGGGGGATCTCCTGCGGCGGGCGGCGGCTCTGGGCGCTAGCACTGGCGGGGCCTGCCTCGGGGTCATGCCTCCTCCTCACCTCCTGAACCTCCTCCTCCCTCTCTTCCTTCTCCTCCTCCTCCTCATCCTTTAGCCTCGACGGCTCCTGCTTCGTCGGGTACCTTTCTCCTAACTTTAAGTCGGGCCTGTCCCTCTACAGAGGGAAAAGTTGTTGGGACTTTTTTTTGCGCATTTTTGGAATGTTTTAGTTTTTCGTCGAACATCGGCCTGTAGGGGGACAGGCCCGACCTGATCCTAACTTCCTCGCTCGTATGCTCCTCCTCCTCATCTCGCCTCTGAGCCTCCTTGATGGTCGCTTTGCGACTGGCACCCAGGGACCTGGACTTGAGAGACAGATTCAGGGACCTCTCGTCGAGATGCCCCCCTCCTCCTCTCAGCAGAGGGTCCCCCTGCACAAGAGATCGCGAAGAGCCAGGTTTCCTCGGCTAGGGTCAGCGTGTGTGAGCGGATCGGCTGGCATGCGGCCGTGGGGAAGCCGTCTGTGACCCCGTCGCACTGAGCGAGGCACTGACGACCGCTAACTCTAGACGCTTCGCGTAACCCCACCAGCTTGACACGCCCTCTGGACTTTTCCTTGCGGGCCGCCGAACAAAAAAAAGTAACCCCACCAGCTCGTCCAGAAACGATGCCCCGACGAGTTGCCCTGATCAGAAGGGTCCACCCCCGGGAGGCCAACATGAGGCCACAACCGTAGAAAAATCATAGATTTTGGCCCTCTCGCCGCGGCCTCTTGGGGTGTCTTGGGTGACTCTGGGTGGCCTCTTAGGGTTCTCTTGGGGTTCTCTTGGGGATCTC